TGTTGGTTGGACCTAGATGCAGCGTAGTGTGTAGTGTGTAGTGTAGAAGAAGGAACAGACACTTTTGGTTTATTTGTTACCCTGGACTCATGCAGAGCTCTTCTCATGTCTCCCCCTCAAGGTTTGCCAAAGAGAATGCTTCTGTTGCCTGTCGTGAAAATGCCCACCTACCCCGTCCCCCACTACCACTTCTTTTAACTCCGGAGACACACACACACACACACACACACACACACACACACACACACACACACACACACACACACACACACACACACGCACACACACCAAAACACACACACCAAACGCTTAGTCATACACACACCAAACGCTTCTCCCAAAACCTGCTTTTTTCCTGAAGCGAAACTTTTTTCTACAATGACGGGAGAGGACCTGAGCTAAATGTTCATTTCATTTTCTTACTGTTTCCAGAAACTTTTATGAATGTGGAAAATAATGCAGGTTTGAATTCTTAAGAGATAAACAAAAAGTTGAAGGATTTTACTGTGAATTGTGACCTCGTACTTTGAGTCTAAATTATATATTTTAGCCTTTTGTTATTGTGTTCTTTGCCAGGGACAGGATAGCCTTTGCAATACGATACACACAACACACATTGTCTCCCTACAAAGAAAATAATAAGCTTTGTGAAGGAATAAATAAATAATAATTTTGAAAAAGAATAAAGTGTATCTCCTACACAAAGCTGAACACTGTCTGGTGTATACATTTCTTTACAGCACAATTTGATGCACTTTTAGTTTTGGTTAGATTTGGACATTTTGGGATTATTTTTCCAGCAGTGATCTGAAATGATTTACTCACTCTTTCAACCTGCCTACGATACTGTGACCTAAACTTACATCAATCTTTAATATTCCACTCTCATACAGCGCAGGGATTGAATTTCAATATTTCCGCGTACCTCAGAGCATCTCGTTACATCCTTTTGACCCTCGGTTTATAGATATTCAGAGGGAAGGGCAAGGAGACAACGATTGAATTTAGAAAGCTTTTGTGGGATCCTGCATCGTGGATTCATCGGCACGATCCCATTACCTGCATCGGCACGATCCCATGGATTAATATCTGCCGGATTTCCCACAGCTATCGGAGTTATCAACTGGAGTGAATGCAGAGCTTTTTGCAGTTTGAGAAAGACAACATATTTTAGCTCAACAAAGACTACATCTATATCACTTATTCTCCCTATGTGCTTGTTATCAGGCGTCATAGAGCTGTTGATAATGCATGTCAACCACAAACAGAAACTTTGGGACCCACATGAATTCATTTCTCTCTGTCAGTGTGTTGTATGTTGTTTCATTATATCAGTGCCATTGCTGTGTTTGTTGTTTTTGCACGTCTTTGCTTAACCTTTAAATAAAGATAAGCACAAACTAAGCTGCTGAAGCCATTTTAAGAACATGGATTAATATCACAAGTAATGTATAAAACATTTAAAGAGAAGTTCACTTAAAACAGAATAAAAAATGAAGTGCTAGTCAAAGGTCAGCTTCAGTCAGGACAGAGTTTTGCTAGCTCTTCACCTTCCTCAGTCATCCAACCATCACCTGACAACATCTCCATGGTTACAGATATGATGCGCAGCCATTCGTTGAGAGGACCCAGTATCTTGTCCAATGGTTGGTTGAGCTCCATTGAGTTGTTTTACATATTTTTAATTGTTTTCAGTCATTTTGATTATTTTGTTGTCATTCTTCTGTACAAGTTTGAATGTATTTGTATTTCTGAAATCAAGATATTTATATTAGATACACTCCCTGTCTCATGGATTCAGCTTCGAATGTACTGATAGATATAAGACTTCTGTTATCTGATCTTTACTTTGAACTCTTGATAACAAAATGTATTTCCCAGAATGTTGAACTTTTCTGTCACCCAGGTGATGATTTATTTTTTAGAAACATTTCCAAGAACTGCTGAAGTACCCTTGAAGTAACCTTGTCCTAGAAAAAAACATGATTAGATGTCTTTCTCCCTATGGAATTGCCTTTTGATCCTTCATTGCCTTTTACGAATCTCTATATGTATGAACATGAATAGTAATCCTTCTGTCCCTGTTCTTCTTCTCACTGCAGGTGGTCTTTTCATTGACAATCCCTTCTACCAGCCGCGGACCCTCGCTCCTTTTATCATTCATCTGGGTCCCCAGGATCTCTTCTCTGACTTCTAGTGGCAGAAGGTTGTTGGAAACTCTCTTCACACTGACCTGTCTGTACATGCAGGACGCCTATCTTTATGTCCTTCTCTAAGCCTTTTGATGCAGGTGATGGGCTCACAGATCTCAAACTGTTTCTGTTTGATCAGTCCGCCGGAAAAAAAAAAACCGTTCTGTCAGCAGCAGAGTGTAAAATCTCACCTACTGACCGAGAGGCTCAACGCTCCACTTTCTGTATTCTCTATTCTCCAACCAGATGATCACTTCAGAGGAGAGAAACTTTACACAAAGCAATACTCGGATTGTACGAGGAACGTTCAGCTGTGCGAGGCTGGGCTGAACTTCTTTCTTATAGCAATACACCAGAACTCCTCTCCAAGCTTACTGACTTGAGAAGATGTGAATGTCCGATGGAGTTTTACCCAACACAGCATTGCAATAGCTCATTCTGATTGTATATTCATTGTATGTGTGTGTACGTGTGGCTATAACATGACTATATACACATATATGTATGGTGTATGTTTCTATAACAATGTGTTGACAATAATATTACTATATGAGGATGTATTTATGTAAATATTCTATAAAATATAACTATTGTTGGTATAAATTATTTTAGAATTATAACGTGAGATGTAACTGTAATATCACAGTATAGCTTTCTTCCAATTTTATATACACTGAGCAATTGAAGCTAGTTCTAGGAGATGCAATATTATCTTTGGTATTCCTATTAACCCTGTGCTGTTAGAATATGTATGCTTCCTTCTTTCCTTTCCTTCCTCTCCTTACTTCCCCTCTATCTTTGATGTCTTTCTGAGCCTTTCTGAGCACGCTCTCTGCTGCCCTCCGAGGTCTGTTTACGTGGCCCGGACCAGAGGTGCCCTCTATTACTGAACACACTCATCACCTAATCACACCTGTGCACACCCAGGCACACACACTTTCCTGTCAAGAAGCACATTTTCTAAAGTCTCACTGCTGGCAGGGAATACTGTTGTTACAAATACAGTACTGTATGTGTATAGTATGTGTATACATCCTCCATAACACCCATCAACACTCTGTCCCGCTCGCCTTAGGGACCAAAAGCACAGCTCACTCACGCATTGCTGTTCCTTCTTTCTGCCAACACACACATTCACACACACCCTTCCCTCCAGCCTATTTTCCTGTAGGGACATGATGCCGCTGGTGGCAGATACAGCCTGGTCAAAGGGCGTGTCTTAAAAAATGTCATCTCACAACTGGCTAACTAATTAAAGGTATAGCTCAGAAAAAGGCCTTAAAAGTGGAGCTTTAAATTCGATTGATGTGTTCCTGCCTGGGAATAAGTATATTTCATGGGTTGGTTATGTCAGCTGTCGGCACTTAGAAGGAGGGAGTTTACGTTTGGTTTCTTTTCACTGAAACCTAAAAAACCCAACATGTCTGATCAGTCAACCACAGCAGTCTCTGGCCTTCTAATAAGTTCCACAGAGTGAGATTTACTCATTAAACATGAAGTATAAACCCATACTATCAGAATTCAAGATTAGTATTGAAAAAGAAAAGCCGGAATGGTGCATGCCTGGTTTCAATCACAGTGGCTGAGACACCTGTCAATCAAGCAAACACACTGCATTACGTCTCTGTTAGGCAACATCTTCTGAACATTTTTAGCACGATATTAGAAAAATACAAAACTTGTATTTACCTGTATTCGAGACAGAAGTTGGATTCTTAAAGGATTCAAAACCCCTAACACAGTCAGCTTGTTAAGGCCAGTCTCCATGTTGATGAACTGTTACAGAGAGATTTGGGGGGTGAAGTTTGGTTTGTCATTTTGTAGTCTTAAAAATTCATGAATATTGTGTTTGACTATGTAGCCCTAGTCCGTTGAGAATGCTATAGCATAGATTGCAAGTTTTATTTGCGTAGGTTGTTGTTAGAGTGAGAGATGAGGTGTTCCATTAAACTCTAAAGTGCTTAACGCTTAATTATGTTGGGTCTAACTTTGGGCTGTAATCAGTCAGAAAGCACCATACACAAAGTACTCACTCAGTGCTGTGTGGGATTCTTTGCAAATATCTGTGGCGCTTCTAAAAGCTCTTCATCAGTTTTATTTTATTTTTAGCCTTCAATAGAGACATGGTGTCAGTCAGCAGAGACAAAATCGACCAGAATGTGAATCAAAAGGCTTTGATTCCCCTCACGCTCGCCTTGATCTGGGCACCTGTTTGATCTCCTGTGTTTGCTTCAGCTTTGATCAAACTAAAATGACGTCTGAGAATGCGGTGATAGACGTCCTCACACCTCAAAGCCCATTGTTTTCAAGACTTTTGAGTCAAATTAGAGTTATATTTTGTGACACCACTGAGCTGACAGTCAAGAGAATTCTTTAGTTTTACTGAATATGGAATACAATGAGAGTCAGGATGTAAATGTCTGCTTATCGGTTCCTTAAACCTGGTTATGGTTCAGCCATTCAGCATCATGGACAGAACATCTGTGTTGAAATCAGAGCTTGTAAACATTAGCTGTTAGCCGCCGTCAAAGGTTGCAGTGAATGACTTTACTCAATTCACAAAAAATTGGAATCGGGGAGCAACGTTATCACGATGTTATCAAATGTAATCTTGTTAACTGTTCATTTTGGCGAGATACTTGAATCAATACAGTTGTTTGAAGGTAAAGAAAGTAGTCGAGTCGAGTAGTCAGTAAATTCCACTACCTATATGAAGAAATTTGTTAGCATGCCGTTTTTAGAAAATAAACTGAAAAGAATCTCGGCCATTTACGTAGGGGCAGCTGGTCACTCGACATAAACACTTGGATTTATCCACAGTGTGTCTGTTACAGACAGAGTCCACATCCATGGTTGCCTCTGCACCGCACGACAAATTTGTTTAGCTATTCCAAGCATTTCCCACCAAATCACAGAGCACATCCAGCCCTCTCATCTCATCTGAGAGAGGCACTGCTTTGCCGTTTTCATCCTTGTGTGGAATTCACGTTGAGGTGAATAACTGTGTTGAAACAGAGCCTCTCTATCGGCTAAGAATGTCTGCTTATTTCCCCTCTCCCCTCTCTCTGTCTCTCTGTCTCTCTGTCCTCTCTGTCCAGATGGCCCACATTAATAAGGCAGATATTCATACCTCAGTGAGCAACCTTTTCATTTCCCCTGTGACTGAACAGACACGCTGGAGGAGTCACCCTGACTACTGACCTGTCCTCTTGGTCTGTTGGCCGGACAACCGCTCACAGGGAAGGAGGCAGAGTGAGAGCTCAGGGAAACACGCTTAGTCTAAAAATGGCGCAGGCGTCTGTAGAGGTTGGGGAGTTGTTTCCTTAGCCAGATTTGTGTTTCTTGTTATAGGCTTTACAGTAATACGTGAGGAAAAATAACTTTTTACCACTACCCAGAGCCTGGATTGACTTACATTTATATTTATAATTAACCACAATGTTTGTGGTATGCACCGGATTACTGCAGGGAAAAACGAAATAATTATTAAATGTTCTTATTCTTTAGAAGCATATATTTGGTGATGATGTAGAAGATGAGGTACAAAGATACAAAGTTCACATGAAGACAGATTTATTTAGTGTACGAAAAATATTCAGATAGTTTAGATCTGCTGTTGCACCATCATGAAGGTGTGACGCTTTTTCAGTGTTTTCCCAGAAGCCCTGTTTGAAGATTTGGACAGTTGTGTCCATGTGGATCACTTTTCTAGAGAGTAATGCTTGTTTGTCCTGCTCCCGGTCCCTGTGAGTTCTCTGATGGATGTTCATCCCTCTCCATTGTTCCCATGAAAGGTCTCAGAGATCACTATGAAACAGGAAAACATGGTAGCCATTGTAAACGCATCTCCCTGCATCTACACTTTGACATACACAGCCTCTCTCTAGGCGTGTGATTACACCTGTACATCTTCTAAGCACAAAACACACACACATTGTTCTCAGGGCCACCTGACACACACGTTTATGCAAATAGACACAGAAGTAATCATATATGTAAATATTTCATCATTCACTGACAATAACAGCCGAGACATTCTTTGCTTCATGGTTTGAATATCACACATAAGATTGTATGTAGTGAGAATTGTACAAGTGGTTAGGCCTTGTTTGTACTTTAGGATTTGAGCCATGTATAGCTGAGAAAATACATCTCCCCTATTTGTTTTCTTGGTGCTTTATGACAGGCTGTCTGTAGCACTGTATATAATGGATGTTACTTTAGCTTTTTGGAGAACCAGCAGTTACCCGTGGACAACATCAACTTTGCTGACAGGGGACAAAAGGGAGGAAAGAAAAGTTATTTTGGCACCAAATGCAGTTGCTTTGCGCGTTTAGATGCTGCAATATGTTCAGTAGTTAGAGTGCTTTTTGCTGCCAGTCGCACGATTTCCCTCAGGCTACTCTTCATCCCTCTGCCAGGATTAAAGGTCAGGATCGGGAATAATGCAAAGAGGCTGTCTGTTAACAGGTTCTGTATTGTTCTGCGGGATGTCTTCATCCAGACACCAAAGACTCTGAAGGCTTTGTTGCAAAAATCTGATATTCTTGCTGTCTCAGAAGTTAGAAACCATACAGTACGGGAGGTGATACTCACCATAGACAGTTAACAAATACCAGGTGGTAAATGAAGGAGAAAAGTGTCTCGCATTAGCACAGAGACGCTAGGAGACATGCTAAATGTGTCTGAAAGCAGAGGAAGAAGAGCAGAAAGAGCCAGCAGGTCCATCAAATGAACTCTCAGCAGAAATAGATCCAGGATCACGTTTCAACTGCCGAGGCAAAGCGAACCAGACTAACTGCTGAACGCATCATTTTCTCCTGGTGTGTGTGCATGTGTGTCGCGGGGGGGGGGGGTTTGTGAGTGTGTGTGTTCGTCTGGCTAGCACATCAACTGGAGGAGGATGGGAAGTTATTTCACACCCATACGCACGCACAGACACACATTATTGCAGTCACATTTAGCATGTTGTTGCATATTTGGTCATGGTCTGCTGATAAGTCCAAAATCCTCCTGATAAACGATCAAAGCATTTTGGTTGGGAATGTACACTGTCGTTATAGTGATTGTAGAGTAGAATGTATTTACTCATAGAGAGAGTAAACTTGCTTTTGTGTAGAGAAGCATATATACAGAATATATATGGATACATACATATACATCTATATATCTTTTGATCTTGTGTGTGAGAGTTGTTTTGGGCGCATCCACCCTGTTAAGATTCATATTTCTCTCCCCTTTTTCAACTTTTATTTATTATGTTCGGACAAAAGTAGCGTCCTACGGGTGATGAGTGTTTATTTTGTTCCTGTATATATGATTTTTTTATTTTATTTTTGACAAAAAGGGGTTTAAAAAGAAACAGTTTTACGATGCTGCCTATGAAGTGATATCTGTCCACAGAATCTGTGTGGTTCATGAATTTATCAAAGTGATTTTTTTGGTGAAATGTAACAATGACAGGGTGGGAGTCTCACAGGTCGTGCTGAACAAAGGCCAATGACAATGAATCATTTGAACTTGCTGTATTGATTAGTAGCAACATTCACAGCAGTGATGATCTGTGGTTGTCACTGTTTTTGACACAATCTATGCTTGACAAACTGAAAATAAATCTGATAAAGTGCTGAATCTCTATAAGTTTATATCTTCTTTTTTTTTAAAGGTCACCTATTATGCAAAACTACTTTTTCATGTCTTTTATACATAAATATGTGTCCCTTCTGTGTTAAAAGATACACAGCCCGCCCACCTTATCACCTGAATCTCCTCCTAGAGCACCATTGCGTTTTTTTTAAACCAATCATCTGGCAGAGAGGCGTGGCCAGCAGCAGTTCATTAGCATTTAAAGCTACAGACACAGAATCAGCACTTTTGAAACAGGGTTGAAACAGAGGGGTTTATGGGATGCTACAATGCATGATCTTTTTGGGATTCCAAGTCGAACTCTTCAGAGACATATATGTATATATCTGAGAAGTAAAATATATTGTTGCAAAATAGTATTATAGGGGACCTTTAAGTTCTCTGGGAACTTAAACTGAGCAGTCAATTGTGTGAATGGAATAAATCAACAATTACTTTACACTACAGGAGATGATACAAACGAGAGTTACCTGAGGATGGCCATTTAAAAAACAAGTAGAAATCAGAAGAATTAACAATATGACACTTACTTATATCTAAATACCCAACAATTCAAATTTGAATTGCACTCGTTTTGTATGACATGTTGGATTTTTTGTATTATAGTTCCTCTTTATACTGCCCACATAGTGCTACATTCTGAAAGCTAATATTGATATACTTGTGTCGTTATGTCAAACTATAATCACAGAGGCAAGGTTATGAGAGATAATTGGCAACTTTGTCTATGAAGGGTTTCAGCACATGAGCTGTCAATCATCTGCAGAGCGACTCTGCTGACGGCTGAGTCCGAGGATCCAGTGACATCTCCAGCAGTGGACAACCCCGGCAACCAGACACAGCTGCCTATCACACGGCAAACCAATGAGTATGTGTGTGTGTTTTCAATAAAAATAACAACAAATGGGGACGAAATTGTGATTTTGTCTGAGAGAAAGCAAACAAGACAGATTGGAAGAGGATTTACCTCTTCTGCTGATGACAGCCATCTTGAAAAATGAAACCCTGTTTTAAAGTTATTAAAGGATTGTGTGCATCTCCCGTTTTTACTATAACATTTAACATTTTATAGTATTATCTTTTGAAAGGGACAATCTGAATGTAATGCTATGTTTACATACCTACAGCCAATTAGATGAACATGCTTTTGATAACAATAGATAGTTTGCAGTGCTTTGCATTTTATGAGAAAATAACATAGAAGGTTTAAAAGAAACACATCTCTTGTACCCCTCCCTGCTTTCTCATAACATTCCCGGTAATCTCATAGTTATGTACAAACTAATCTGGAGAACCACTAAGAAACATTATACCGGAGGCATCTGTATGCTGGGCCCTGGTTCAGAGGCTACACTGCAGGGCAATAAATTACCCAGGATTGCTGACAAGTTCACAGCAACTCGTTTTGTATTTCAGCCGGTAACAGGAAACTGGGATGCCCACAAATCAGTTTGATTTGACAGCCTTACCTCTTGACACACCACATCAGCTGTCTGGAGATAACAACAACGCTGGTAAAGATGTACCAATACTTATTCCCAAAGTCAACTGTTATCATACTATAGCCTACTATGTTGTTTTTTCAAATATTTTAAACATACTGCATTATGACCTTTTCCAACATACTTAGGTTGTTGTTTCTGAAGTTGTGTGATATTTTCGGCATACTACACTGTGTTGTTTTTTCTGAAATGTTTTTTTTGCATATTTCCAACATACTATACTATGTAATTTTTTCTGATTATTGAAACACTATATATATATATATATATATATATATATTTGTGACATTTTAGAAATACTATAGATGTACTTGCTCTTTTTGGGAAAACATAACACATAACACCTGTTCCAAAACCGAGTTGAACCCGGGTCGCCAGGAGTCCTAACCGCTTTACCATATGGGAAATACATTCCTTATCTACTAAGGATTATTTACTTTTATTGATGGACAATATTATATTATATTTTGTTGTATGATTCCCAACTCTTTACTATGTAATTTTTCTGAAATTCTCAACATACACTGCTATAGGCCTATGGTTTTTTCAGATTTTTTTAACAGACTATTCCATGTAGTTTTTTTGCATATTTTTTACATCCTTTACTTTAAAGTATCGTCTTACGATACTATACTGAAAGCTGTGACCCAAAACCCCTGGTCCTAATTGTCCATAGTTGTTTTACAATGCAACATTTATTTGGAGTCACTGCATTGCATGACATGGAAGCTACTGAAAAAAATCCAGACTTTTCCATAAAGAAAATTAGAGATTTCACAACAATATTTATGTGAAATAGAAAAGCACAACAAAGTAATTACATGTCTAGTGTAAAAATATGCTGTACTTATTTGGAGTAACTGCATGCATGACATGGAAGTTACTTTTGGAAGTGACTTTTCAAAGCATGACCAATTCAGTGTGTGATTCTGCAATCATGTGATCAGGTGACAGGGAGTTCAGGAGGTTGTTGGGTGTCTGGTCCATATCACCCCTCCATCACACGCTCAAGTACATAAATACACAAAGTTTCATCCCCGGGTCACAAATAATTGACAAGTGAGCTGCACAGCAACTGAAGACGCCTGTCCCATCAGCATTCCACCTCGCTGCTCTTATTTATAGCTATGTAACGCAGGAGAGTACAAGGAGGGGGGGGAGGGGTGTCAAACTGATTGCATAATTCTGATGCTTGTTACCTCCATCTGCCACAGGTACTGGGTTTCCAAATCAACATGCCTACTGTTTTGCGATCTGCGGCCTCAGAGCCAAGTAGCCTATAACTAAAGGTGATAATTTTATGGGCCTGCACTGAGTTATAAACACTCCAAATGATACAATCAGGGCGCACTACACTAAGGCCAAAGCAGAATATAGCTCAGCCCTGGCTGCCGCAGATAGCATTGCAGGAAGCCATATGTTACGAGGGAAACGATGAGAAATAGAACTGGAACCAAAGTAAATGCTAAAAGGAGATTTCCATCCAGCTCAAGGGAAACGGTTTTAGCTGAAAGATAGACTGTTTTCACATAGTTAGCTGGAAGAAAACGGGTTTATTTTCGTGTTCAAAACTCCCTCAGATGTCCAGGAAGTGTTCCCAAGAGGTGAGTTGAAGGAGTGTCATTATAACAGCCTGGGCCTCCTCTCTTCTGTTTCTACATTTCAGCAGCAATGTGAAAGGGAGGGAGAGGGAAGGACATGTTTGGCTTTATAGATTGTATAGAAGCTGGCGATATGGGAAACAATTAAAGATTTCTGATTGAGATTGGCGAGAAGCCTCAAATTAAACATTCAGTGCTCTTGAGAAAAGTGATGGAGGAAAAGTTATAGCATGTCTGTGAGATAATAAAACATTACCCAAAGAGAAAAATGTACATTTGTTTGTTTTTAATTCTCACCGTGGTATTGAGATTTACCGTAACTTTGATATCATTTTAATGGCACACTATGATCTGTTTTATGGCATTATATATAACAAGGCATTTCTGGTTACCTTTTTATTTTAATCTCTAATATTACTCCTGTACTAAACTATGATATAGTGTCAAATAAAGTTCGATAACTGATTGTCTTCTGCCGATATTGAGCAGTCGTCGGGTAGATTTGTATTTGATTTAAGAATAAAAAAAACGAAACAGGCAGGGACTTTTTTGTGTCGATATCTTTATATTGAAATTCATGAAGTATACAATGCATCCTACACTACAATGTCCACACGTTGATAATGTTTTTGTCGTATGATAAAGCTACATTTTGGCATTTAATTAACCAAACAGCAGTTTGACTGAGAAGCTCAGAGCAAAAATAACAACAGAAAACATTGTTGTGAATTAAACGGTAGCACGGCAGCAGGTTGGTAGATACAAGTAGGCAAAATTAGTTATCTTTACAGAGTAGAAAATCATGAACAAAAACTCAATATTAATGTTTAAATGTTTGTTATATACAACCCAGTGCCTTTAGAGGAATAACTTCATCTTGGTCCTTCCTCTGACATCACCAGCAGATTTCAGCCAATCAGATTCCACCTTCACGTTAAATTAAAAAAAACAGTAACTGTTCAGTTTAGGCTGGAAACAGAAATACAGTTTTCACTGTTTGTTTTTATTCTCCAGTCTCATTTGATCAGTGAATAGAAATTGAGAAATGGTTGCCCCCCTAAATATGAAAACACACACGCATGCACTTTTGAAACCCCCCATCGCGAGCATGTCAGCTTGACCTCTGCATTGACCTCTGATCCCTGCGACTGATGGTGCATCTTCTGTGATACCGATCCAAGCTAGAGGTGCAGAGTTTCACTTCTGCAGTTTTACGTGTTCATTTTCTGCTTCTACAATCACATCCACTTTGATAGTTCTACATCTGCTATGGCCTCCTGAACAAGAGGAATTCTTTGAGGCATGAATTCATCGAGGAGTTCAAACATGTTTCAAGGGACTTCGCTCCAAGCAGGTTCCATCGATCTATTCCTGCTGATTTTTGGAGGCTGCGAGATGCTTGATCTCTTGTTCCACCTCCTCCCAAATGTGTTCTCAATGAGTGCAGGGAGCCGGAACAAACACAGATTTCTGTCATGTCGCTGGATTTATCTTGAGATGATGGTCGGTAGCTTTTCTACACAGTGGCAGTGACACTACGGGATCTAATTTTAAGTCAAGAAAAATCATAACTTCAACTTTGACTCAACACAGGAAACAAGCTTTTAATGACTTCCTTTGCTTTCTACCATCAGCATGGGACAAAAGAAACTAACATTTGTTGCATCATTCAGCATTTTTCAACCATTAATCATGCTTACACTTCTGTACGTATCTGTCATATGGCCCTCCTGTTAAAGTGTTGCTGATCTTCACACTATAATAATCATTACATCTTTTCGATCCAACATCATACTATTCTTTGCTAGAAAGTGACCAAACAATTAGAAATTGTCCTCAGAAATAGAAGCAGGTGTCCCACATAAATCAGCCACTGTGTGTTTGTTCTGTATCTGCCAATATATAAAACCAACAGTGTAATTCAGTGTGTAGTGGTGAAAGAGAACCCAAATATCCGACTGAAGTGTGAAAAACAAAACCGTCCTGCTCGATGGAGTACCACACATGACCCTGCCTGTCTAGTTCAGAGGTCGAAGGTCACAGAGCAGCTGGGCCTTACAGCAGGGGGTTGAAGGTGTGTTCAAGTGCAGCAGGAATCACAACGTCCTGTGCGTGGCCTTTCTATTTTGACTTCCACAAAGTGATGTTTAGGGTTTGAAAAAGCATTGCACCACTTTAACAGTGTTGTAACATAAATACACAAAGTGTATACTACATGAGAAGGTTTGCACGGTTTGGAGCTTTTTTTAGTTTCTTTGTGCTGGGACATCCAAACCAAACAAACCTCAAGCATGTTAAATGTCAGATATTTGATGTGAGGACAATTGACTGTAATTTATATATTCACACACATCCACTAGTTTCAATGTTATCGACCTTCTGATCAAGGCTTTGTCAGCAAACTTTTCTTCAGCATCATTCATATGCACATTTAAACAATAAAGGAAACTAGACAACCAGGGAAACACTCTTTCCCCTTACACACACACACACACACACACACACACACACACACACACACACACACACACACACACACACACACACACACATAACCTTAGTTCTTTTTTCTTTCCCTTCCCACACATTGTCTCCCTCTTCCTCGTATACACATTTTAACGTTACTTCAGTCTATTATTTATGCATTCAAACACATATTTTCAGTCTCACATACACCCCATAGTCAACACAAAACATGCGTGCTTACACATACACACATATGCTCATTACATAAGCACATTCATGTACATACATACATGTAGAAAACAAAAAGGTGTTTTTTAACGTAAATTAGAAAAAAGCTCAGTTTTGAAAAGGCGTCTATTAGCTCTCGTACCTAAAAGGAACATTTGACAGGGCCTGGTTGCACCAGTAGTTTAGAGGGGATCCCGCAGAAGAGTGAGGAAGGACGGAGTGTTTTCTTCTCTATCCCGTCAGGACAGTAACTCTTCAGATGTCCTGCCTTTCTTCTGCGGGTCGTTATCATCAGCAGTACAAAGACAGAAATAAATGAAGCATCACGCTTTTTTTCTGTGACCGGTGGAAGCACATGGTGTCTCTGGGGAACGTTTCTGCCCCTTCTCAGCAGCACATTTGGCTGTAGTCATTTGGGGGTGGAGGGGGGTATAATGGATGGGGATTATGCATGACGACATTCTTAATAAGAGGAACAAGAAACACAGTCCGTAGTAATGGACGTCCTTGGATTTAACGGTCAATGTTCATGTTAAAGTCGGTGGGTTAAGTTATGTGCCCGCAGGTTTCAGTGTGGGGAGCTCCACACATGGCCTGGGTAAAACTGGGGAAGGGGCTATCAGGTTAGGTGGTCTCCTTGCCCTGGTTCCCCGTGACGGTCTTGATGGAGCTGAGCGTTCGGTTGAACCAGGTCTTCTTGGCGGCCTGCATCTCGTTCAGGGCCAGACCCAGGTGGTGCTCCAGGTCCTGGTGGAAGACAAGATCAATCAGCAGGCGTCCAAAACAGTCAGTAAATAACAAAGTAAGCAGATTTTGGTTCACCTTTCAAAGCCCCTGTGTACTTTTTAAAGTCTTTTTTTACCACTTTGCCTTTCTTCAATCAGCAACTTTCCCCCCCCCAACTCCCTCCCCACTTTAAAAGACACCATTAATCATGTGAAATCCTCATCTTTCTCTTTTTGACATCCTTCCTGATGAGCTCATAACAGAGCTTCTGCTGTTGGTCAAAAGCTTTCATGATGAATAGTTCACTCTACTCCTGCAATGCTTAAACTCACCACACACACACTTTCACATTGACTTCTACTGCAACTGTGTTTACATATATTTCTGAAATAGTCCAAAGCTCTCTAATTTAATTCAGTGAGATGTTAATGTTGCTTCGGATTGATTAAAAATTGAATTACGCCTCCAATTTCTTTAACTGTATCTTGTCAATAGCCTACTTTCTGCTGGGACCTCATCCTAGTTTAATACAGTCATGAGAGTAGAATATGACCTCCAGGTGACAAATTGTTTAACATAAAAGCAGGTAGTGTAGATATTAACAAAAGGATGGAAACCAAACATCCTCCCATAAAGGACTAACTGGACATCATTTAATAGAGCCAGCAGGATGTTCTCCATGAAATGTAGTTGGATATGTTCTCTAAGGTTGTCACAGTAGTGTTGTGTCACTGTAACAGTTCATCTGTTTGTGTAGTTGCTTCTACATCACCTAGAATAGTTTCAATGGTAACTAGTATTATTCAAGTTATATTGCAACTCAATAAATGTGGCATGACTTGCATGGTCCTCGATCATCAGGGGGGTGAAACAATGTGAAATGGAAATCCTTGTGTTTATATGCATTTGTTCCCCGAGTCACGTATAGTTATCTCAAACTCTTACAGTATGTGTATTGATTTAGGCCGGGCCTGTGTTAGTGTACCTGGAGTTTGCACTCGGCCTCCACCAGCTGCAGTTTGGTCTGGGCCAGCTCCAGCTCCATCTCTCTCAGCTGGATCTTCAGACTCTCCTTCTCCTCATCTTGCTCCTCAGACCCCCCCGCAGACGCAGTGTTCACAGTCCGCACACGGCCTTCTTTGTTGAAAAGACTACTGCACTTCTCACAGCCTTCCACTTTGAACTAGAGAGGGATACAATGAAGAGAGCAAATGTTAGAGACAAATCATCAATCAACAAAAACTCACTTCTTCATAACGCTTGGATACGTAATCTACCTTTAGGCTTGAGTATGGTACAA